AGGTACCTGAAAGGAGGTTGTAGTGAGGGGGGTCAGTCTCTTCTCCCAAGAAACAAGCAATAGGACACGAGGAAATGGCCTCAAGTTACACCAGGGGAAGTTTAGCCTGGATATTAGAAAAAAGTTCTTCACAGAAGGGGTTGCCAAACATTGGAACAGGCTGCCCAGGGAAGTGGTGGAGTCGCCATCCCTGAAGGTATTTAAAAGATGGGCAGATGTGGTGCTGAGGGACACGGTTTAGTGGTGGTTTTGGCAGTGTTAGGTTGATGGTTGGACTTGATGATCTTCAAGGTCCCTTCCAACCTAGATGATTCTATGACTCTGTGCCTTTGAGAAAGCTTCAGGTCTGCACAAAACACCCCAGTTAAGGCAACAAGTCTTATTTTAATTCTATATAATTTCATTATGACTACAAGTTGGAGAACTTCTCTTTACAGAGGTCATCAACAAACAGAAATAAAGACATTGTTAATTCAACATACAGGCAACTTTTGTTGTTAAGATAGATTTATTACGCTTCTAAATACCAGCATTACCAAGTTACTATCATGAATCAAACACACTATGGTCTGTCCTGGTATTACACTTTAAGGCCCACCTTCTCTTAGCCAAAAATATGTATTTTAGTTCAACATTATTTCTTTAAGGGACAGATTTGCTATCCAGACATGACTTGAATTGTATAACCTTGGCCTCTAAGGTTGAAGTTATTTACCAGTTGCCAGGTCGATTTGCCCATTTACACTCATGGACAGATGCCCCCTGGTCTTCTCCAGCTATTTGACACTTCAGATTTGGGACAGTCTGTGAAAGCTAAACTAACTCAGTCGTGTACAAAGCTACCAGATGTATCTTTACACAGATCTGTGCCACGCAATTACCCATCTCCACACTACCACTGATTTATCTTGGAACCCATTCAGCTGGCAACTCCCTCCTTTTCAGGAGGAAAACCATGACTGTTCAGTCCAACAGTCTGTGTTGCTTAAATGGGCATCTGAACTGCATCTCACTGGGCACCTTTTTTCTGGCCAGCGCTGCATCCCAGACATCAGCAACAAGAGATACGTGAAATTTCTAGCTAAGAACATCAGATGCAGTTATGAGGATTTTACAAGCCATACACTGTGACCAAAATCAATTCATTTTACTGAGACTCAGAGGTGGCTACTATTCCCCTATTTTTAGGGTTTCTTAGCAGATATTACAGAGCACCACTCAGAAAATCTCTTTCTAAAATGGTAGGAAAAGTGCATGAAGAGAGAGGTTTTTAAATTCAGATGAGTATTACCTATGCTGCTGTTTATTCTCATCTTAACATTCGCCCAAAAATTAGAGTGGTGGGTCAGGAAAGATGAGGAGAGTACTGGAAAGAGAGGAGTCAAAGGAGTACAAAAAGAGCAGACCGTCTGCAGCCCAGGACAGAAGCATTATTCCAAATCCCGAACTAAGCCAGCACGTGTTAATAACTACTGCTTACAGGGTTACTGGAATCCTGATCCCCACTACGCACCTGGGAGATTAAATATCGTGATCATTAGCTGTGAGACATCAAAGAGTCTTCGGTGCTCCTGGCAGAGCTGCAGTCCAAGAACTGAGCCTCGCTCCACTCACGCCATTAGACACAGTCAGGCTTCCTACAAGTTTGGCAAGCATATGATCTGTGTAAAACGACTGCGTGCTACCTCCCTCTAACTAGGGGAGATTACAAGTATCATTATATAATGCTTTAAGCATATAACTAAGAATATATAGTATATAGTTTGCCCTTACTCAGCAAATGGTGATCGTATCACTGAATCACATAAGGACCTGAACAACTGGATTTTTTTTATCTTCAAACTTCTGTATGATGTCTAGAGGCAGGAACCGATTTTATGATGACCTGAAAAAGAATATACTGTCATATATTATTCAGTTTAAAACCGATCTGAAGCATTTTTAATGTATCAACATTAGCTCCCTCACCTCCCCAAGAGGAATATGTTTGTTAATCATCTTCACAGATCAAAAGGTCATATGGGATGAAAATTCTTTTAGAAAAGGAATCTTTAATTTAGCAGACAAAAAAAAATTCAACGTCTGGTCACCTGAAGTTGGAGAAAGAAGCAAAGTAAATGTAAAGTATGTATTTAAATTGTAAGGATATGGTATTTCGGGGAGTCTGATTATGTACAACAGATTTTTATAGTGGGGACTCTTTCTAGTTCAGAACCTGAACACGGGACTAGTATTTTTGCTCTGCTACCTTTTATGGTCTTCATTAAGACTAAGCCCAGAGGAAGTGGCATAAATTCCTGCAACTCTGAAATACAGCTTCTCTCAGTGTTTGATAGCTTGGTCGAGCAGTCCATTAATTCAGATTGGTCATCTGTTAGCAAATCATAGGGGAGAAAAACAAATTTTGAATTCACTGATCACTAGCATATGAACTACAAAGAGAAGTCTTTGAGTATGTTAAACAACTGTTGAAACTGAGGAGGGATGGAGGGGTAGGCTGTGCCAGAGGGCACTGGGTTGGAGACAGAAGCAGCACAGCATGGTATTATGGCGGTCCTTTAACTAGAGGACCAGCACAGGCTAGCAACCAGCAAAGCTGTTTAGGGAGCCAGGTGCTTGGCCAGTGTCTGATTCCACCACAATTTGTCCTAGAAGAGCTCGACTATAAACGCAGAGCACCCACAGAAGATTGCAGTTCTTGAAAAAGTATGAAAGCTGGCAGCAGGTCTATGAGGTCTGCACAGCTTATGGTCAGTTCACTTGGTGATGCCATTTTCAGGATAAATAATAAAGTCATAGAATCATAGAACAGTTTGGGTTGAAAGGGACCTTTAAACATCACCTAGTCCAATGCCACCTGCAATGAACAGGGACATCTTCAACTAGATCAGGTTGCTCAGAGCCCTGTCCAACCTGATCTTGCACGTTTCCAGGGATGGGGCATCTACCACCTCCCTGGGCAACCTTTTCCAGTGTAAAGGACTGTTAATAGGCTACAGCTACAGCCTACTCGCCTAAAGGAACACTCCAGAGTGTACAGGGTCCCATCAAACTGGTCCCAATACTGTATATGTTCTGGTTAATTTCCAGCACAGAAACCCATGATAATGGTAAATTAATCAGCAGAGGCCACAAAAAAAAAGATGCAGGAAACTCTCTTACAGCTTTAAACCAAGACTTGATATTTTTTTAAAGACAGTAATCTGTAGTTCAGAAGCATTTATGAAGCTGCTGGAAATTCCAGGGCGTTATCTGTTTAAAGGAAGTGTGGTTAGATCACCACAATAGTTTAAGTTATGGCTAGAAGCTTTAAAAGAAAAAAGGAAAGCTTTGCTGACTTTCTACATTTTGAAGTTCCTATCTGATTTAGAGACATTTATACTCAAATAATCTCTCTGATAAGGGCGAGGAAAACTCATCCAAAGTCCTACAGTATGGCACAATTAGGTATATAGCCCAGCCCTGAGCAAATGATCATCTAATTTGTGTACAAAAAGCTATTGAGAAGGAGATTCCATCGCTTCAGAAGAAAAGGGTAGGGCAGATCTTGTACTCTCAGAGTCGAGGAGCTGTCATATGTGATGTTTCATCAATGTATTTGATAGAACTGGGTTCTTAATCTGCATTATCTTTAACCAGAGTAAGTATTAATTCAAAACTGAAGCTAAATAAGACAGTAAGTAATAATTTAACATCTAAGCTCAGACTTAACATCTAAGAACAGATTGTAACTGAGCACCATATCAATTTGCCAGCACAAGCAAGGCAAAGAAATATGAACAGCCTTATATACACACAAAAAATATCACATAACTGGTTCGAAACAGGAACCCATTTCCAGGGGCTATGAGCACCTCCAAATGTCTTTTCATTTCAATGGGAATTGTGCATACTGTTAGCAAACTATTGATGCCATGCAAACGCCTATATCCAAGTTAGTTTGTTCTTCGTCCGAAATTGCCCCTTCTCCACCCCCCACAATAACAGCAATTGGTAACAAGAGCTTCTGTTTCTCCAGATTTAGTGAAGCTTCCATTTATACAAAGAACATGAAGTACCAAATGAATACAGAATTTTAAGAGCTGAAAGAATAATCATTTTCTTAAGAAACTCAGAGACATGATACAAAAGAAACAAGACTGAGTCCACATATAAAATTACAGGTCAATGTTATGTTTAACTATTTGTATTAAAGCCACAGCTGATGTCTGATATGTATTGATGTTAAAAAATAAGTTTCAAGAAAGCTTTACTGTGAAAATGAAATGAAATTTGGTGAAGTTTAACAAATTTCATAGCTTTAGCTGCTGTGAAAACAATACTTTACTTGAAATGCATTCAGAATTTCAAATTCCTGAAATGCAAATTCTTCAAACCTTAAATAGTTTACTGTAGCTGTTGTCTGAAATGAAGTATTAGGCCTCATAAAGAAAAAAACCAATACCTTCTCCACTTTTTTCTGTTTTTACATAAAGGAAGGATGAGAAGTGCTCCCAAAACAAAGTCAATTTACAATTTTAAAAGGTTACTACAGAAAAAAAAAAAATGTACATTCCGTTCTTTCCTTGTGACTATACTATATTTTAAGCAAGACTGTGCCTAAATTCAGAGAATGCTTGATGTTTTAACTGCACAAGCATTAAATGTTGTCATATTTATCACTGGAGAGTCCGACGGCAAACTTCAGTGGCATCAATCTTCACATTATGAGATGGGAAAGCAGTCGTTCAGTTGCACTCAGACTGTTGCTTGCTTCCACCATGGTACAGTTGCATTTAGCCTGGAGTCCAGTGAGAACTCACCCCGACCTTTCACGTGTCCCTGAAAAAGCTTTTCTACACTTTTATGTAAACCAACAGACGCACAGGATAAACAGCTCTTCAGTTCTTTCATTGACTATAAAAAGCAGGTTTTCTTTAAATCAATAGCTTAATAGTTATGATAAATAGAGCTTTTGCCCGATTTCTTGCTTGTAATTCAGTGTAATGCTTCTTGATACCTCAGTCATCATCTTGCTGATTTCTTTTCTGTCAATGGAACAGGAGAGTTCATAACGTTAGGACATAGTTATCTGAAGTAAGAGCACTAATAAATCATGACAAGTATTTCCAGATACAATGGATATTAGACAATGACTGCATTTCTAAGCCATTTTTTTGAATGGTCAGAGATAATATTTCCAGCAAATAGAACAGAGCAACATCAACTCTCTCCCCCATCCCAAACTATTGGATTTTATTTCCAGTAAAGAACGAGAATTGCCCTGTACATTAGCCAACAGACTACACAAGAACCAGAAAATATGATGGCCGTGGCAGAAGTCAGTGGTCAAGATGAAACTGCCCTCCCCTCCCTATCTTCCAAAGATGTCACTGATCAAAGGAACAAAGAAATTGTATTGAAAAAGGATCGAGTGCTTACGGCTTTTTCCTCGTATACTTATCTTCTAACTTTTAAAGAAGTTCTTAAAAAGCATTAGTTTCAGCAATTAAAAAAATAAATTTCCATTTAGACTATATTTGTATTTACATTTAAATAAGAAAGAAAACAGCTAGGTCCTTCAGTAAGATTTGTCAAACTACATGCATTGCTTCCCCTACAGAAACAAAAAATTAACTGAAGTGAGATCTGTACGAAAGCTTGCTCTTCATGACTTGAAAAAAAATTATACATCAGCCCAACAATACATTGTATGATGGTTTCATGACTTCATACATTATTCATTCTGTGATGGTATAACCTATGTTAACTACAAAAGCACAATTCCAGGCACTTTGACGTTGCCATTTCACATACATGAAAGGTCAGAAATTTTTTGTACTACTTCTTACCAGTTTAAGAAAGTCGATTAATTTGTGAACATCCTCTCCTGTAGAAAGGTCCACAAAATCTTTCGGCAGTCGGTAACTCAGGTATGGACTAGGCTGGACAGTAACCTTACTGTTCGTACAACGGAAAACTGGATAGTCCTGTGGAAAAAAATATTGGATAAGACAAGAACAGTGTATGTGAGTAAAGCTAGCAATGTTTCTTGAACTCCTCTGTGAGATGGTCTGAGTCACTTTGCCAAAAAGTTTATTTGACATTCATTCAACTAAACCTGCACCTCCTAAAAGCTGTGGTATTCTTATTAAAAACTGCACACTTAAGAGCAAAAGTTAAAATGTTAATAACAGTCAAATAAATGCATTCATTCCCTCACTTTAAAGCTTCTACAATGTATCAATTATTAATACATTTAATATAGGTACGCTTATAACAGTGCTGTAATAATGGAGGTATAAGTAACTTTGGGCAAAAGCATGTACATAAATACGTGGATAAAGAAAATCTTTAAATAAAAAATAAAATTAAAAAAAAAATAAAAATCAGTGTTCGTCACCCTCTCAGGAGGAACGCAGCTATGGTATCCACCCAGCGGAAAGCCATGCCCTCTGCGCTTGGCAGGAAGGATGTGGCAACCCAGACAGAGCTCCCACAAAAACGTGCAGCCATCCAGGTCTCAGGCTGCAGGGAGTGCCAGAGCCTTTTGCTGGTACCGGATGGCAGCAGTGAGAAGAGCAGCGTGAGATGGGACCAGGTGGATGATCTGCTCAGCCCGGTGGCAGAGGTACAAGAGGAAGCAGAAAGGTTAAGGAGCATCAGTAAGCCCGAGAGAGACTGGTGGAACCACGCTCTGCCCTGCCTGAGACAGAAATGGGAACAACCACCAGGAAAAAAAAGAAAAAAAAAAAACAAGATCAAGGGGATCTTGTATCCTGTCGCCAAGAGGCTGAAGGCAGTAGCTTAAAGGAGAAGAGCAAATGGAGGCAAGTCCACGCTCGGGGTGCCAGGCAAGCCCCCTCCTTGCTCACCCCACCCTTCCAGGTGCCTCTGTACAACAGGTACAAGGCTCTGGATGTGGAAGGCCCATCAGCGGATGATGATGATGTGGATGACAGTCCATCTTTACCAGAGGTGCCACCAAGCTCAGAAAGGCCCACCCCCTGTATGATGATCACCTCCACAAGGAAGAAAAGACAGGTTACAGTTGTAGGCAACTCCCTTTGAGTGGAACAGAGGGTCCAATATGCTGGCCAGACCCTCCTCTTAGGGAAGTCTGCTGCCTCCCTGGGGCCCAGGTTCAGGACATCGCTAGGAAAGTTCCTAGCTTCGTATGACCCTAGGACTATTTTGGGGTATGAACAGGTGCAGGGTATGACCCTGGACCCATTGCTGTTCTTCCATGTGGGTGGCAACGTGTAGTCCAAGTGGGATCAAAAGAAACTTCAGGGCTTTGGGACGGTTGGTAAGGGAATCTGGAGCACAGGTTATTTTTAACTCTCTCCTCCCAGTTGCAGGCAGAGATATAGGAAGAAACAGACGCGCCCAATCTATTAATACATGGCTCATGTCACCACAATTTTGGGGTTTTTGATAATGGGATGGCCTACATGGTGACAGCCTTGCTGGCATCAGGTGGGGTTCCCCTTTCTGAATGGGGGAAGAGGGTCTCTGCTCACAAGTTAGCGAGGCTCACTGACAGAGAGAGACAGGGTGCTAGCGAAAGCCAGCAGCCTTGTTGCTCTGAGACATGCTGGCTACACTGCAGCACACTCGCAGTCTTATGGAGATGAGCCAGGGGCTCCTGAGGTAATAGGAGCCAATAGGGAAACACCAGTGAAATACCCCAAAGGAGTTACGGGATGTTCCTCTAAGAAGGTGACATGGCCAACAGCCCAGCTGAAGTGCCTCTACACCAATGCACACAACAGGAGGAGCTGGAAGCCACTGTGCTGCTAGAAAGCTACAGCCCAGTTACCATTACTGAAATCTGGTGGGACAAATCTCAAGACTGGAGCGTGGCTATCGACGGCTATAGGTGGTTCAGAAGGGATAGGCGAGGAAGGAGGGGTGGAGGCGTTGCCCTCTACACCAAGACATGGATACAGTGTGAAGAGCTGTCTCTGAAGAATAGCCACGAGCAGGTTCAAAGCCTACAGGTAAGAATAAGAGACTGAGGCGACAAAGGGAACCTTGTAGTTGGTGTCTACTACAGGCCGCCCAATCAAGAGGAGCCTATTGACAAAGCCTTCTTACTCCAGCTACACAAGGCATCACGCTCACAGGCTCTCATCCTGCTGGGGGACTTCAACCACCCTGACATCTGCTGGAAAGTACCATGGCAAGCTGTAGGCAATCCAGGAGACTCCTGGAACCCATCAAAGATAACTTCTTAAGCCAGGTGATAGACAGCCTCACCAGAGGAGATGCGATACTGGGCCTGATGGTCACCAATGCAAGTGAGCTAATTGGAGACATGAAGATTGGAGGCAGCCTGGGCTGCAGTGATCACGCACTGGCGGAGTTCACAGTCCTGAGGGACAGAGGTCAGGGGAAGAGTAAAGTCAGGACCCTGAATTTTAGGAAAGCAAAATTCCAGCTCTTCAAGAAGTCATTTAATAGGAACCCCTGGGAAACCACCCTCAGGGGAAAGGGAGCAGAACAGAGCTGGCAGATCTTTAAGGATCCTTTAAGCCCAAGAGCTCTCGATCCCCAGGTGTAAGAAATCAGGAAAGGAGGGCAAGGGACCAGAATGGCTGAGTCGAGACCTGCTGGTCAAACTAAAGGGCAAGAAAGATGCACAGGCAGTGGAAGCAGGGACAGGTATCCTGGCAAGAGTATAGGGACGCTGCCTGGTTGTGTAGGGATGGATTCAGGAAGGCCAAGTCACAGCTGGAGCTAAACTTGGCAAGGAATGCAAAGAATACTAAGAAGGGCTTCTACAGGCATGTCAGCTAGAAAAGGAAGGTCAAAGAAAGCACACCCCCTGTGATGAGCAACACTGGCAAATTGGTAACAACAGAAAAGGAGAAAGCTGAGGTATTTAACAACTTTTTTGCCTCTTCACTGGCAACCTCTCTTCCCACACCTCTTGAGTGGAAGGACTGCAAGGCAGGGACTGGGGGAGCAAAGTCCCTCCCACTGTAAGAGAAGATCAGGTTCGTGACCACCTGAGGAACCTGAACATACACAAGTCTATGGGACCCAACGAGATGCATCCCAGAGTCCTGAGGGAATTGGCTGAGGTAGCTTCCAAGCCATTCTCCACGATGTTCATGGCAGTCAGGTGAAGTCTCTGGTAACTGAAAAAAGGGAAACATGGCACCCATTTTTAAAAAGGGTAGAAAGGAGTACCCTGCAAACTACCAACCTGTCAGCCTCACCTCTGCGTGTGGGAAGATTATGGAACAGATCCTCCTAGAAGCTATGCTAAGGCACATGGAGGACAGGAAGGTGATTCGAGCCAGTCAGCACAACTTCACCAAGGGCAAGCCCTGCCTAACCAACCTAGTGGCCTTCTATTATGGAGTGACTACATCCGTGGACAAGGGAGGAGCTACAGATGTTGTCTACCTGCAAAAGATGTCGTCTTCTGCAAGGCCTTTGACACAGTCCCCCACAACTCTCTAAATTGGAGAGATATGGATTTGTTGGGTGGACTGTTCGGTGGATGAGGAATTGGTTGGTCACATCCAGAGGGTAGCAGTCAACAGCTCAATGTCCAGATGGAGATCAATGACAATTGGGGTCCTTCAGGGGTTGGTATTGGGACCAATACTATTCAAGATCTTCATCAGTAACATAGACAGTGGGATCGAGTGCACCCTCAGCAAGTCTGCTGACACCACCAAGCTGACTGGTGCAGTTGACATGCCTGAGGGACATGATGCCATCCAGAGGGAACTGGACAAGCTCGAGAAGTGGGCCTGTGCGAACCTCATGAGGTTCAACAAGGCCAAGTGCAGGGTCCTGCACCTGAGTCAGGGCAATCCCCAGTATCAACACAGGCTGGGGGATGAAGGCATTAAGAGCACCCCTGCTGAGAAGGACTTGGGGGTACCAGTAGATGAAAAACTGGACATGAGCTGGCAATATGCACTCACAGCCCAGAAGGCCAACCATATCCCGGGCTGCATCAAAAGAAGCATGGCCAGCAGGGCGAGGGAGGTGATTCTGCCCCGCTATTCTGCTGTGGTGAGACCCCACCTTGAATATTGCATCCAGCTCTGGGGCCACCAACATAAGAAGGACATGGACCTGTTGGAGCAGGTCCAGAGAGGTCACAAAGATGACCAGAGGGTTGGAGCACCTCTCCTAAGAGGACAGGCTGAGAGAGTTGGGGTTGTTCAGCCTGGAGAGGAGAAGAGTCCAGAGAGACCTTATTGTGGCCTTTCAGTACTTAAAGGGGGCTTATAAGAAAGATGGGAACAAACTTTTTAGCAGGGCCTGTTGTGATAAGATGAGGGACAATGGTTTTAAACTAAAAGAGGGTAGATTTAGACTAGATATAAGGAAGAAATTCTTTATGATGAGGGTCGTGAAACACTGGCACAGGTTGCCCAGAGAGGTGGTAATGTGCCATCCCTGGAAACATTCAAGGTCAGGTTGGACGGGGCTCTGAGCAACCTGACCTAGTGGAAGATATCCCTGCTCACTGCAGGGGTGTTGGACTAGATGACCTTTAAGGGCCTCTTCCAACCCAAACTATTTTATGATTCTATGATAATTTTTATGATAGAATCTCTAAACTTGTCTTCACAGGTTCCTTGTTTAAACCCATGTTTGCAAATATAATCTTACTGAAATCATGATCTAAGCTTTCCAACCAATTTACTTACTGAAAGAAAAAATATCCGTAAAATATAAAAAAAAATATCCGTAAAAATATAAAAAATATCTCTAAACATTCAATTGTAGCAACAGGTTTTGTGTAACCTGATATAATTTTCAGTTCAACACACTGACATGCAACTTAATTGCCCACTGTATGGCAATAAGCTGCTTCATTTTAAAGACAGAAGTTCAGTAACTTCACACCAGACTCTGTGATTGCATGTAAGCTGAGGCATGAAGACAAATCAGTCTGATTTTCATTCAGGCTTATACCACAGGAAGCTGTGTAAAGGGTCTGGCACTGAGAAAAAGAAATCCTCAAACCAAAATTCAGGTGTCCCATGCATAGCTCAAGAATTGGGAGTGTGTTTTAACAAAGGAGACACAGCTTTTAGCAAGAAGGTTCATTGAATAGGTTTTCATACAGCAGTAGCCACATGGTGAGACTAAGAGAAAATGGCATGAATGTTAGCCTGCAGTGTGGTGTATTTCCTTTTCAATGTGTTATGAAAATCGCAACAGAACTAAAGCAAAGCTCAGACGTTAAAAATCAGCTCAATGAAGCATGTCATTTCAGTTATCTCTAATGCAGCTTAACAACTAAAAAATAAAGAAAAGCCCATGATATCTGACTAGCCATCTCTCCTCAGACAACTACCAAGTGTTTCCCAGGATCAAGTAACATGCTACTTTGTATCTTCTATCCAGCTGTCCAAGGACTGGTTAAGACGTGAGGACTCAGTCTCAAGCATGCAGTGGAAAAAAAAAAAAAAAAAAAAAGATGGAATGCAAATAAATGAAGACTATTCCTCCCTCTCTGCATTAAGGGGAAGTTATTTGGTTTTTTGAAGGCAATGCAGCTTGGAAGAGGGATAGAAAAGCCCTGCTCTGCAAGTCCAAGGAGTTCAACCAGAGGACAAGGCTTCCCTGAGGGTATTCGATATGAGGAAGAGACAGAAGTTAAGCTTCTTTTTGTGTCCCCTCAAACATGAATCTGGAGCTCTGGGAAACTGTATGACAGGTATCAGGAGCAAAGCAGAACTTTAGGTGATTAAATAGCAAAGTAACAGATTTTAAGAGAAATTGAAAAGACTCCATCAAAAGTGCACAAAAGCAAGTTTCAGGGCATCTTCTTTGCAACGAGGTCAAAGCTGCAATATGGACTTGTACTGTTTGAACTGAAAATTCCCTTGCAGGCATCTAAAACTAGCATGTGATACTTGTTGAGATTAACTACTGTTGAATAAGGCAGATTCTACTTACAAAGAGTTTACATTTCATGAGTTAAGGACAACCATTTACTTCAATGGGATTTGCATCACAATTTGATTATAACAAAAAAATAAAAGAAAAAAATAAAAGGCCATAACGCCTGTTGGATTTGTTAGCCAGCCTCCCTCACCACAGGGCTGTACCTGTTCTGTTGCTTCCCCTTCACTCTGGTCTCCTTTCAGGTTTTTCCCAGACGTCAGTTCTTCCCACGTAAACAGCAATGAGTCTGTTACTTCGCCAAATGGGTTAAAATCTATTAACCAAATCTTACCCTGCAATGGAACAATAGAAGAATTAAAACAAGCCACAGAATTGAAACAAATAAACAAACAAAAAATCAGAATACATATATATTACTGTAGTATGCTTGGTGTTCACATAAAGAGATGTGAAAATTGAAAACACTTAAAACACAGAAAGCTATAACTTACTAATTTATTTAATTTATTCTTCTTAAACAGAAGATCAGACAGAGCTCAAATAAACTGAATTCAGTTCCACACAAGGTGCTTTTAGATCCATGGCTCTCCAAGATCCCCAGACAGGAAGAACAAGGAAGGGGTAGGAGAAAGAACTACCACAACCCAAACAAAAAACCCCACCCAACCAGAGATTTTGCTTTCCATCAAAAGCCACCTCAGTACTGCTGCACATTCAGCACTCTACAAGAATTGCTGTTCTTGGTCTCAGAAGGGACTCTAAAAATACAGAGCAGGGTCTGCAAAATGCTGGTGGAGATCTTGAAAGCTGAAAGGTGCTGCACAGATACAGAAAAATAATAACTTAAAGGCATTTTTAATGTAGTCCCCACTAGTAGTCCAGACTAGTTTCTCCTGCCTCATCTTTAATACATTTGTGTGTCAAACAGTTGTGGCAGTATGCACAACAGCATGCCTGTCTTACAACTGAAAAATGAGAGCAGAGAAACAAACATGACATATTAGAGGTAAGAGAGACGTCTGCAGGGGAGCAAGAAAAAGTTTGTATTGAGTCGTCTCAAGATACAATCCCCAGCACAGGGCCATCTTTTCTTACCCAAGAAAGTGTCATCTATTCTAATAAAAAAACCCATTATAATAAATTATAATGAAATACGACTACAACTGCTAGCAAGAATTTGCAAAACAAGTATTACATCTGGAAGAAATCAAATCTATCAAATATGGAAAGAAAAAGGTTGCTGTAACATAAGCAGGACTGAAGGGTTTTATTGTGTTTATTAAAGACCAACGGGGACTGGAAACCAAACCTGATGACTGTAGCTACTAAAAGCTTACTTTGCTTTCTCTTTCTTTCCCTTATTCCTGAAGGATGTTCTTTCTTTAAAAGATCTTCCCTATCTCGATACAAACAGCAAATATCTTCAATGATTTACACTACAGCCATCTGGTTTCTAACTTACAAAGACGCTTTTGAAGCCTTCAGTCACAGAGTAACATGGAAACTTCTTCTCCCACCCACACTACCTAAGCCACCCCCCACCAGCAGGCACTAACACACTATAGAATAGGAAATGCATGGAAACTCATACAGTAGAGAACAAAAATGCTCTGGCTGGTCTGTCATCATCCCCAGCGAGTTACTCACGCAGGTGGGGGGAGTCCCAACACAGATGAAACCAGTGATACTACTTGTAAACTGGAACTGAGCCAGCACCCCGACCGGTGAGCGTGTGGTTGCACACAGGCTTTCACAGGTCTCTCTCTCGCTCAGGGCAGATCCACAGAGTACAGCTCTCGCAGAGCAAATTTTAAAAAGCCAATGCACCGCAACAGCAGTACTGAAACCAGATGGCTACAAAAGAAACTGCCAATTGCGGGGACACAGACCTGAGTGGTTTCTTACTTGTTTTGGAAGGGTGAAGAAGCACAAATATCTGCGTGGCTAAGACGCAACACCTCTGCATCAATATTGACACCATCGGCGCAGAGAGCAAACAGGGGCAAGCTCTGCTATCATTTTCCATCTCTGTTCTTCTTCAAAAGGCAGTCACAAATTCTCATTATAAGTAATGTTTTACTTTTGCTAATGGGGACATCTTGTTAGCTCCAAGGCAGCAGGAAGAGGAATCTATAATTTTAGATTCATTCTATCACACTAGAAAAACAAGCTAATGAACCAATTTAATCCAGACAGAAGCAATGGCTGGCAAAGTTCGTTCAGCAGTTCAGAGAATCTTTCCCTGCACCAGAAACGTTTATACTTAAAGGACTTCCCTATGAAAGGCTTTCACAGAGACTCCTCCTCACCCCAAATACATGAAACTCAGCTTTGTCATAGGCACTCAAGATAATTTCTCTAGAGAAGAAATGGAAAAAACTGAAAATTGTTTTTCAGGCTACTGAAAGCAACACCTGTTTTTTGTGAGCATACCATACCCAGCAGTATTTCTCCCTCCCTGCAGACAACAGTACACCATTGATAACACCAACTGTTTCTTTGAGATGGTCTGAAATCTGCACTGAGCTTTAGTAGCTGCAAATTGATGAGATGTAGCAAAACAAACTAAATATCCCTTTTCAGGGCTCATTAAAGGGAGTTTACTCTGGGTCAGTAACTGAACTGTCTTTTCTTAAGATTAAATGCTCTTTCAAGTCTTACATGCAATGTTATGATTTAAATGTAGTTTCAGATGAGTTGAGCTGTGTATCTAAAAAGCAGTAGTAAAGCTATTTATCTACCATCTTCTGGTATTAGCAATCTTTGTCATGAGAGCACAGAAATGCACCAGCCAGGAAAGCGAAGTTGTGCATATCTGGAGGGGAAAAAAACCCCAACTTGTATTACATAAGATTTTTTTCCTCATCCTAAAACAGGAACCAATAGATTTACCATATCATGTCAGCTTCATGCTTTGTTTTACCAAAGCATTAAGCAACATGCTGCTGAAAGGAAGTGTCTATGACAAAGACTGTCTAAAGGAAGTTAAAAGATAGATAAAATGCAAACTAAACTGTTACATCTCCCTAACTCCAGCTGCAGCTTCATGCACAGTGACTATGCTCACAAGGCAGAGACAACAAGCACTAGTTGCTCGTTAACAAGAGCAGCTGTGAGCTAGCAGTGGTCTGGAGCCACACACTGCACTACTATGTCTTCACCACAGTGACTTGTCTTGAACATGGTCACAAGTTGTTAACACCTGGGAGATACGAAGAGCAGTAGCAAAGCTGACTCTCAGGCTTGTCAGCTGTTGTACGAAGATTGTGAACTGCTAGCACAACAACAACAACAAAAAAAAAAGAAGTGGATCCAAATGAAAACAGGCTACCAGTCCTGCTACACAACGTCTTTGGGACCAGGTCTTCAGATCATCCAGGCTGGAAGACTGTATGTTTCTTCCTTAAAAAGATGACTAGTCTGCACTAGCTCAGATGAGCTTGGTGAAGAGAGAGGAACAGGAAAGGGAGACACATCACAGCTTGTTCCCAACCAGGCCACGGCTGCTGCTATGCCACCCTCCAACTCAACGAGCAGGACCTCTGGCAGCCTACTCCGTACAGTCTCTCAAGGGACTAAAGCAAGCACGGGGACGGGGCTGCTCTCATTCACAACCGTATCAAAGAACAAGCTTCTCCAAGCTGAATATTTAGAGTTGAAAGAATTTAAAATAAGCAGACACTGGACATTTCTCTCATTCTGTAAGTGAGGTTGCCGTGCAACCAGCCTGATGAGGAGCACAGGCTCTGGAAATTAATCACACTCAGCAACGCTCAATATTCTTTTTCTGCCTGTAACTCACAAAGGGAGAGATGAATAATACAGTTGCAAACCACAAAAGTATGTGTGAAAGGAGGATCTGACACACAAAGGGCTATCCGACAGTTTACAAGACCTGAGGGTAGAAGGCACTGAGAGTTATCTACAAACAGATATATTTTATCTTGACAGATGAAGAAACACTGCTCATTTGAGGTCACACATGCTTAAACCTTTCACTGTAATAATCTGTCTTCATGCCTCAGCTGCAAGGCAGAGTACGCAATGGCAGAACCCAGTTCAACACTGAAGTGTTGCTTCACATTTTGCCCAACAGCATCCTCAAGTCTGAGGATCTGAACCTGGGCAGGTAATTTCCATTACCATTCAGCATGGCTGGTTTTAGCCTGTAGCCTAATTTTAGGTACCTACGTTAAAAGTTGTGCTGCGTAACAGTACAATAGTTGTTTTCCACAACATGTATTCCTATTTAGTTTATATTTTGCAAACTATGGCATGATTTAGTGTTACAGAATTACAAAATACTTTAGCAACATTCAAAGTCAGAATCAGAACTTATTACAAATACTCCCAACTCAACGCAAAGACCTTCTGCAATCCCATAACTGTAAACAAGTCAAACAGTGAGACTCAAATGTATATAGCAAAAGTATATAGCCTTTTTTTTTTCATATCTGGTTTAGGATTTGGAAAAAAAATTAAGCAAAAGAAAGACTTACTTTTTATGCACTAATATAATTCCCAAAATCAGGTTGTGATTCCCAAATCAGGTTTTGAGATTTAAGGCTATATAATGTATTTTTGGTTGCAGTTGCTTTTAAAACAATACACATGTGCCTTTCAAGCACAATTCATCTGACCTACTTCGCTCCATTGACACTGGGAGAGGTCAAGGTAACTAACTCTGATTGTGGCACCTGACGTTCAGATGGGACGTTTCTCTCCACTCTGTCACCATCTGGACCTTCAGGGTTCTGATCCACCGAGCACTCAGAACCACATGCAGCTGGAGCAGTTTGAAAAGTAAAACTTAGCTTATCCCTTTGTACTCTAGACCTCTAGACTTCCATATATGAAATAAAAATTATCATTTTCCAATCTCACATGGATAACCTGAAGAAATATTAATGATTAGTTTCGATGAGTTCAGATGCTATAGGGAAAAACATCACAGGGAAGGAAAGAAAAAAAAAAAGCCCAAAGAATGATTTGTTGTAAGACTCCCCCAAAGTTTTTGGGGGGAGCAAAATATCACCCCCGCCTTATTTTTTTTAAATAGCACAGCCATTCTGACACATTCAGATACCCTTCCATCAAAAGCACTCAGAGTAAGCATTATGCAGAGGAAACCTTAGCAACAGGTAGTGCTTCGCTAAAACAATTTAGTAATGTTATATGATATTGATCCATCTTTAAAGAAAATGCCCCAAGCCTGCCAGTGTTTAAGAGGCATTTGAACAATGCCTTTAATAACATGCTTTAATTTTTGGTCAGCCTTGAATTGCTCAGGCAGTTGGACTAGATGATCGCTGTAGGTCCCTTCCGACTGAAGTATTCTATTCTATTCTAAATTATTTCAGCAAAGACTCTCCACATCATAATGAAAACTAAATCGGCTCTAGTAGATTCACAGAACTGACAGAATTACAGCTGAAGTCAAAGTTATGTGCTTTAAGACAGACTGCTTCTCTGGAAGATATTCACTAAACAATTACATCACTGGCACAGACATTTTTACACCCATAATCCTATTATTCTCCTACTGTAGACAGTGTCTGACACAGAAAAAGACCTGGAGAACAGAATAATAACATCAAGTAGAGTGTTTTTTTGGGGGGGGGGGGTGGTTGTTTTTTTTTTTCTGCCAGGACCACTTCTAGGAAGATGAAGCTATTATTTGCTTCATCTCTGCAGCATTTCAGAAAGAGTTTCCACAGAATAAACAATTATATACAACCTATTGTTCACTTACCCTGCTGTCTCTGTACACATCAAAAACAACTGAAAAGGAGAAGAAAAAAACAACGTTAATCTTAAACAATATATAATTTCACAGAAGATGTCTAAATCTGAATAGATACTTGTGTACACAGCACAATCTGCAAAGTCAATATGTCTAAAGAACTCCAAGCTAGAATTAGGTTCATTTCCAAGAGGGAGTTGAAACATGTCAAGAACTACTGTTAATGCACTGAGAGATTGGTTGCCGGGTTTTCCATTTAATGCTGTTTTCTTCTGTTGATTTTTCCCCCCAGCGAAGAACATTTGATAAACTCTTAGCCCAGACAGAAGCTTATCTTCGACATTACTGCTGTTTGGTTTACAGCAGAATGGAGAAATTTCAAGGAAGGATCAAGACTTCAGTGTGCTTGACTTTGCACAAACATTTAATAAGAGAAAGTTCCTGCTTGACGGAGATTAGGACTTCAGCACATAACAAGACAAACAGGTTGCAGGAACAAAGGGGTCGATGGGTGTGCTGAGGAAGAGGTGGCAGTGAAATGGCTATGTTTAATGTAAGCCAGAGCAGATACAGCACACCTACCAATTATCAACAACTCTTTCAAACAGACCCTTTGCTAATCGGCGACTGACGCAAAGCTGCCTTGCTAGCTCCACTGTTGTCCCTCCCCTTGACTTAATTAAGCATGAATCTTTGTACACACATCTTTCTATTAGCTTCTGTTCTGTATGGTTAAATAAATCTTTGTCTTTCTATTCAGCTAGGGAAATCAACAGATAAGCATTCAGGCATGACTACATGCAGAAGTTGGACCAGTTTAGCAGAAAGAAAGAAAAAGAAATGCCAGATTTAGAAAAACCTCAGACAAATGCTGTATTGTCACTTCCTTCACTAATAAGGAAGGGAATATTTCAGCTAAGAGATTTCCCAATACATGTGGGATAATCTAAACTCAGGATATGACTGTAGAACACTTGAGCCTCAGGAACTACTCAGGAAGCGGCTCGTCAGTAACAGGGACGTTGATTGATCACATTCATGCACGTAAAGCTGTTCAGCAGCTTAATCTAACATTTCATGAGAAATTGACTGGGCTAAGGGCAAACCACAACTCAACAGCACCAAAGCCAGTCACGTAACTGCTTTTGACCATATAGGCTAAAAATCCACACAGCTTTTTGCACAAGCTCAGTTACGTCAATTTAAAATGCCACTCCAGACTTCGGTGCTATGATTTTCTTGAGAAGACAAGCCCTCGGTGGCTAAGTCATCAATGTGAAGAGGAGCACAGCAAGCCTAAGTTTCTTCTCCAGCTGTTCAATTCAACTTGTTGCAGGTACTGTGTACTATCATTAGTCATATTTCATTAATGGAAAACTTGCATCTGAGCTTTATTATAAAATGACACCTGTCAGCTTAAACAAGCCTATGGCAATCATTGAAGCTAATGGCATTTAGCAGAATTTACATCCCTGTTAAGACTGATCGCACGTTGGTGACCAGTCTGGGACACTCAAAAACACTGAACAGAGAACACCTGAACTGTTCCCTCTTCTTAAGGGCCACCTCAGAGCAAGAGTGTCGTGTGCCAGCGAGACTGTAGTAAAACTTTATCAGCAATTGCTCAAAATGGAGGGCAAGCCAAGGCTCAACCCTACAGTAAGTATCAATACCTTCAGAACACTGTTCTTACTGGGCTCTTATGAAAAGTATTTGGAAGGTTCTAACTTCACTTAGAAGTATTTATAAAGCATTCACCCATCTGTTATCCTACTGCTCTGACTCTGCAATGCTTCAGCTGCTCTGACCCAACTCTTCCATCTGGAGATGCTACCAGACCAACTGGAAAAAGCAAAGCAAACCGCATCAAAATCCCCAACGAAACAAGAAGTCAGGAAAAAAGCTATAATACCTTTCCTTTTAAAAGCAAACAAACAAGAAAAGCCAGATTTTTACTCTTAACAACACATATGCTACCAGACAGTGGATCGAGGGATAAGCTGTGGTATGAATGAAGGGTGGTAAAAAAAAAAAACAACACAAAACAAACAAACAAAAAAAAACCCACAGAAAACATTTTCTGCATGGCATTTCTCTGCAGAAGGACAAGTCACCAGCATTTAGTGCCTAAGAACAAAAGGTTAACAAACCTTCATCCCAGGTCACCCTGAAACCTCCTTTTCCCAGAAGGTAACTCAGATGGCATAGTTTTACGTCCTTTACATAAGGTGACACTTCAGACCTTTCAGTTCACCAGACAGCAGTTTCAGAGCCTAAATCTAGGCATCAATTTCCAAAAATAGTGCCCTGAATTCTTATCTGTCAGTTGATTACATATCAGCTAAAATTACTTTGGAACACAGAGGAAAATTAAAAGACAGTAATCAGAATGTAAGATCTATGTGACCGATCTTACATCAAAATATTAGGGCTACAGACCTATTACATTCGTATACTGATTTACAGGCTACTAGTCTTCTCCAAGGAACAGTCCTTGAGAACTTCTCTGGAATGAAATAAAGAAACCCTGAAGAGTCCAATTATTAAGAATTTTAATAATTGGATAGACTGGCATTAGAAGGTATCTTTTTCAGCAAGTCACAGAATCACATAATTGTTTAGGTTGGAAAAGACCCTTAAGATTGAGTCCAACCATTAATCTAGCACTGCCAAGTCCACCACTAAACTGTGTCCCACAGCACTACATCTACACATCTTTTAAATCCCTCCAGGGAGGGCAATTCAACCCCTTCCCTGGGCAGCCTGTTCCCATGCTTGACAACCCTTTCAGTTAGGAAATTTTTCCTAATATCCAATCTAAACCTCCCCTGGTGCAACTTGAGGCCATTTCCTCTTGTCCTATCACCTGTTACTTGGAAGAAAGGACTGACCCCCACCTCGCTATACCCTCCTTTCAGGTAGTTGTAGAGAGCGATAAGGTCTTCCCTGAATCAGACAGGACAGATCTTTTTGACTGCTCTAGTGACTCAGAAAAATAATTAACCATGTTAAAAACTTATGTAAAACATTGAGTATTCAAAGCTTTATAGAAGCCAGAAAATTCTTATCACAGAATCATAGAATGGTTTAGGTTGGAAGGGACCTTAAAGATCATCCTGTTCCAAACCCTGCCGTGGGCAGGGACACCTCCCACCAGACCAGGTTGCTCAAAGCCCCATCCAGCCTGTTATTAAACACCTCCAGGGATGGAGCTTCCACAGCTTCTCTGGGCAACCTGTGCCAGTGTCTCACCACCCTCAGAGTGAAAAATTTCTTCCTAATATCAAATCTAAATCTCCCCTCTTCCAGTTTAAAGCCATTCTCCTTCGTCCTATCGCTACATGCGCTTGTAAAAAGTCCTGCCCCAGCTCTCCTGTAGGCCCCCCTTTAGGTACTGGAAGGGCACTATAAGGTCTCCCAGAGCCTTCTCTTCTCCAGACTCAACCACCTCAACTCTCTCAGCCTGTTTATGTTTTTTACTAAACTGAGGTCAAATACTTTATTCAAAACTCTTCAGCAGCTAAACTGCTGTGCATCAATATTTAGGAGAAATTATTATAACTTCTTGAAAAGAAACTTAAAAATCCTTTCTTCAAGGAATACATCAATAATTTAGCAGCAAACATCTGACAACATCTTAAAAAACAGTATTCTTCTTACTACTGGATGTCATTTATTAAGCATTTCCTACCTCTAAACCTTTTCAGGTTCAGACTTTTTCTTAATTAAAAACAAATGTAAGGGGAAAAAGCCTTCAAAAAAATTCATTATGCCTTCTGAAGGGATCTTTCACTCATTTATTGTGTTTTCCTGAAAAGCTCCAGCCTCTTCCCTCAGGGTTTTTTTGTTCCCAATTTTATAGTCATTCAGAAACTACATTGCTCTGCATGCTCTAGCCACAAGAGCTATGAGACTCTCCCAAGTTAAAAAGAACCAAGTCTTGTGAAAGCAATAGCTATGAAGAGAGAGATGCATATTCACAGACTTAAAATACTGGGGATGCTATTATTTACTGACAAGCACCCATTTTTCCACTGATCTCCAGCAGTAAACTGAAATTGAACATATTACAACTCAGTGTGCTGTGGAGGAAGCCAACAGCAAGTGGGCAAGAGGATAGGTTTCATTTCTATGGAGTTCGCCCAGCAAGCCCTTTCAATTTCAAGCCTCCCAGTACTTTGCTAAAGAATTTGCAGGACCCAGACCCTTCATTTCTGTTTTTAAGTCTTTGCAACTATGCGTGCAATAAGTATTTCAAAACCTTCATAAACATCCTCCTTCCCTCCCCCATGCTCCCCTGGCTAATTGAAGCCTTAAGATACTTACAGTCTTCATCCAAGAATTTATACTGTATGTGTTTCTTGAAAAACTCCTGTATTGTTCTACAGATCTCTTCATGTTGCTTAGAGATATGATCATAGTATTGAGTGTAGTCCCTCTGTGATATACCTGTCAATAATTTTAGATGATTATAAAGAGGTTTAGGCATGCAAAACAACCAACCAGCAAAAAATGCAGTTAAGAGTCATGCATGTTATCTATATTTCAAAATATGAGGTTCTCCCAAGTTTCAACCATTAAGAATTACTTATTGTTTAGCTTTATTCTCCAATACTTAAAGCATATCCATTAGGAATTTTTTCCTTGAATAGTTCTGCCCTACATTTTGTGAACCTTATTTTATATGTACACCCTTTGACTACTTTAAAGTGAATTTCAGGAGGAACCTTTGCTTGCATTTAAGTTTCCAGCTCCTGCCTTTTCCTTTCAGTTTTATTCCCCCTGGTTACTCTGGTCAAAAACCTCTTCTGCTCTGCACATCAGATGTTCAGAACCAGACAGTGTGAGAATTTGGAACCACGAAATGAAAGGGGTAGGGGCCAGGATTGCACATGAGCGAAGATGATAGATCCCAGCATACCATAAAGACTCTCATTTAACCGACTTCTTAAGTGTGGAATAAAGCGTACCTGTTTGATAAGGCACTAAAGCTGAAACCTTAAATCAACGGGATAGCATGCAGTCTAGTACCTTATTTCATCCATTTGCCCACCTCGAGGGCTGTCTTGCATATCTGACATTAGATAAACTATTCCGGCTACATTACAAGCTCTTAATTTCATACATTTGTTTGTCTACAAGACAAGAGTTTAAGCTGACATCAACAGGATTATACACTTGCATGCATCTTAAGTGACAGAAGTTCTCATACAGATTACATCAACATAAGCCACTGCAATACCCTGCTGGAGACACGTCAAATCAAGACGTGCTCCATCAATGGAAAAATGAGTAACTCATGCTATTTAGGAGAAGCAAATGCCAGAATCCTGCAAGAAAGATGTGTCAATGACATCAGTTTGCTGTTTTAACCATGTTCAAAACACAGAGATTAAGTTTTACTGTAAGACAATGCTGACTACATCCAGAGATGTGCTCTTTAAAAAAGTTCATATAAAGTTTATGTCGTCAGTGGAACTTTGAATTATTAATACCACTGCAAAGCTTAACTCAGGTCTAAAAACATAAACCAAGAGGTGGTGGCACCTCAGGGGAATGCAGATGTGTAACTGGAAAATCATCCACTACACTGTGCAATGTCACTCCTTAGCTTGACTGACAGGCTTATTAATTCTAAGAGCATGGGAACATATTTTGAATAATCTTGATCTGTCTTCAGAAATGCAGCTGCAGTGTTAGCTAAAAACATCCATACTGGTAGATCTACCAGGTTTCAAAACCTAGTAATGAAATGTACAGAGTGTTTAATTAGCTAGCATACAAATACTTTGAGGTATTTGAAAGTAAATATCACTATACATGTTCTATAATAAACGTATATTCAAATGTTTTAGAGGTTATTACAGTGATGCATACCTCTGGCAGTTGTGTTCCAGAAGCACATAACAGAGCAGGATTCAGCTCTTCACCCTTCAAAAAGCTATGTCAGTAGCCATTAAATAATACCGGCTTAATGGAGAATCTCTGCTATTAGCAAGATAAAATCTGTTACAGAGAACTGTAATAAACCCTGCATGAATTGAGAAAGAATGGGAAGATGAGTGTGGAAGCACCAGAAGGAACAGCCAAATAAAAGGTCTATGGGAATGGTATGTGTTGACAGTACCTAGATTAAGACATCCCAAAACATTGATGCGGAGCTCCATAGGACACTTAGACCAGGAAACAAAGAACAGTGAGTACGTTCCTAATGATTCACAGAGGTAGAACAGGACAGAGAGACAAATTGCTGACAGTTCCTAACAGGTACAAAAAGGCACATCCAAACCAAGCACATAGTCACCATGCTGAGAAGAATCGAGGAAGAACAATGAGGACTAGATAGCTAATATCCCTTCACTTCCATATCATCACAAGGAATCCTGGGCAGATCACTGGTATATGTGTATCTTGGTGCTTGCGAATATGTAGGTATGAGACAAGACAAAATGAGCAAACTTGATTTTAAAGCAAAAAAAAAAAAAAAAAATCACCTTCCTTCCTGTAGAGTCTGGATTAGAGCATTGCTACATCACTGCTATAACATTTCCTTGTTAGAAGAGTTTAGACAGAATGACTCAATCTTCTTAAGGACAAATGTGCATCAGTCCTGTGCTATTTACATTTCCTGTTCATCTTTAAAGATTCCATGGTAGACCACATCAAAAGTGAATTCAAACTCCAGAATAGTATTTAGCCTGAAATTAAACCCCTCAATTCTAAGACCTGTATGTGCACTAGATGTCTAAGCCCCTGCTATAGTCAGCAGAGAATAGTCAACACATCTAGAGGAGTATAATTCAGTTAAATTTACACTAGAGCCACCTAAAATACATGCTTTAGCACAATCTGCCTGTCCTCCAGCTGCCACAGGTGTCCCGATGCACCCACCAGCAATTTGCATGCTGTGGATACCCTAGATGTTCAGTGCCACTTGAAATATTTTACATTTAGGTTTTTGAACCAGAGTAACAGATAGACAGGTTTTGTGACTCAGCTACACTGAATACAATATAAGCTCAGACACCTCGTACACCCATGGACATGTTCTGACCTCCCCAACTTTCTGCATGTAACATCCACATGTGGTCACAATTTATCAGAATAATTCCCAACTGGATCTTTGTTCAATCTGCAAGCTGGCTACGATGCAATTCGCTCCCGAATGTAAGAGAGTCACTCACCCAAAGGCTGTTAAGTTAGCAATTAGAATTAAGAATATTCCCACTGTAATACTGAGCATGCTGTGTCATTGGGCTTTCAAATACAGTGCAAACAGAAGTGTGGCATGCCACATTTTAAAAATCAAAGAAAGAAAAAGAAAACATTAATTCCAGAAATGAGGTGTGATAAGAAAGAACTGTCTTCAGATTTAGCTCCGAGTCAAGGAATCAGAGAAACCCCTAAGAACTTAACCTAATAATTTTATCTTTAAGAAAATCCTTACCTATAAGCTTGTTTTCCTTGACAAAGCATCTGAATTCTGCACCAGGGATTAGTTCACACCATTTGCGAAGAACAAGCTATAGAGGAAAAACAAATGACAAAGTATTGTTTCAGAAAAGTAATAAGTAACTTTTTGTCAACAGGTACACCTTCTAGATCTACAGTTTTGCTGTAATAAGATGACGGCTGAAGTTATTCCTGATACCAGAAAACTAAACAATCTTAACCTGCAGTTCACCATCATCTTAGCAAATACTTCAAAGGAATCAGACTTAATAGTGATTTCATAGAATCACAGAATGCTTTTGGTTGGAAGGCACCTTTAAAGACCATCTAGTCCAAACTAGGTTAAAAGTAGAAAGGTTCAGACTACACATAGAAGGTTTTTCACAGTGAGGACTGTCAAGCATTGGAACCGCTCCCTCACAGGGAGTAGTCTCCACACTCTCATGTTTTCAGACCAGATTTGATAATATGCCAAGCAACCCGATTTGATCTCATCAAATCTCATCTCATGGCTTTTAGCATGAGAATGGACCAGAAACGTCCTAAGACCCCTTCCCACCTTAATTATCTTATGTTCTTCCACTTTGTATGGCATTTATAACCACAAAATTATTTAGGAAACAACATCAAAGTTATATTAATGATAAAGCATGGAAAACAAAAACTCCCGCTGTACGACACAACGAATCTGTCATGGAATTGGCAGAAAGTTGCTCCCTAGTCAAAAGAGCTGATGAGCAGAATTAAATTTAACCAAATCAACCTCTATTCTGGTATATACCCAAGCAGAATTCTGTGACGCCTTTGAAGGAGCAAACCAGTTAAAATAAGGACACGGGATAGAAATAGTAACCAAACTATTATAGTCAATAGAACAGACTGCCTGGTAATTAAAGCATATCTCTGGCACTTTCAAGTTTCCACATTTCCTAAACTGAAGTATTCAGATGGATCCATTATTTTGAGGGCCTCAATTACAGCTCATGGGTACTGGAAACTCCCAACGCCTATCAACTGCAGCAGAAAAACCTCAGCAATCAAAGGTGACATTCCTAGCTACTGTGTAAACGTGAAACTTTTTGTTTCAACTTTCAGATGTCCTGTATTTTTAAAGCATATTAAGAGAGCGCTTAAAAAACAAAGTAGGGTTGATTCATTTCTTTAAAGCCCTTTAAGTCCACAGGATGATGACAAATACTACATTTACATAAAAATTAGAGACATGACTAGATGCTACCATAAAAGTGACAGCAGCACATGAACAGTTTAAAGCACTGTTAACATCTATGTTGCTAACATTTTAACCTGGTAACGAGCATATGAAACAAGATACAATAGACCAGTTCAGGATGTCCCCAGCTTCTCTCTAGTAACTTCAGTTGTGGTACTCACAAGCAGCATACAATCAAGAATACATGACTTTCAGCTATTGAACTTGTCCTTCCCCTCATGTCTGTCAGGTTTTGCCAGGAAACTGCGAGGAAGCTCAAAAGTCTGAACTTGAGCTCATCTCTGATGTGTAATTAAATGAACTCCTTATGACCTGTAGCATTTAACCAGGCTTCCCCACACTGCCCAAGCAACACAATTAAACACAACAAACGCTACGGGCACATACCCAAGCACAAATGGCAGCCTGCCTGTTAGCAATTCATTTAAATTACCTAGAAATCATGCGGAGTCTTACCTCATAGTCCAAGGAAGGATCAGGGGAATCATCAGTACAGTGAATAAAGCTGGAAAAATAAGGCACGGGCATCAAAATCTGCTTTTACATGTAAGATTTTAGCCATAGTGAGAAAAATAACCCCAAACTGTGAATCGCAAAAGCTACTGTTAAATTATCTGCAAGACGTACAATTCAATACATCAGTAACAAACCTCCTTTTGACAATTACCAGGGGAGGGGGGAGGGGAATAACTCTCCTCTTTTCAGCTAGTGCAATTTGGAAGCACTTACGTTCGGACAGGGACGTGGCTAAAATTTGTTTATTCATTGTTCACTGTTGACTTTTTTTTGTTTGAATCAACAGTGCTGCTCCTTTCCTCTTTATTGTTATGTTGGCATAACTGGGTTCTCAAAAAAACAGATAAAAACTTGAGCAATCTAATCTAGTTTCATTGCAGCATGTTTTCCCTAGTACTTTTGATGTTTAAATTCCTAAACCACACAAGAGACACATCATCATGCCTTACAGCAGTTCATTTCCATGAATAAGGGATGCAAAACAGCACCACTCAGCACTTCTGATTCGACAGCATGGTATCTTTCCAAATTAAGAGCCTTAAGAAATACTCTACAAATCTCTTGAGAGTAGGAATAAACAAAACTATTTCCATAACTGCAAGCAGATGTCAAGACTTTGTCCCTTGTGAGTAGCTGACTGCATGCCACCTCTCAGGAACTATCAAGAATGGAGGCACTTATACCCAAAACAACTCCTATGTACCTTTTTGTCATTTTACAGTAAACCTTGCAGTAAATCCTGCAATTTTCAAAGGGAATTAGCAAAAGAACATGCATTTTCTTTCCAAGTGTACTCCCTGACCTTATTGGCAACACACTACTTCAATGCACAGGACTGTGTAGAGGCTTACCGCTGAGCCAGAGTCTTAAATGGCAACATTTATACTATCTCCCTTTGGCACCAAAGTAAGTTAAGGAATCCAAAAGTCTAACATCTCTAATATAAGCATTGTGTTTGTAAGTCATGGCTGCACAGCCTTCGGTTTGAAGCAAAGAGCTATTGTAAGAGTTCATTCAGTATGCAGCCAGCAGAAATAAATTTCACATGGTTTAGTTTAGACTTGAATACCCACTACATGCAGAAAAGAAGGGTGATAGGAGGTATGCTTTCCAAAAGTACTGTAATCAAACAGATCATATATATCCATAAGCCTATGTAAACAGATAACATCCTTCAACTACAGTTTATATTCCTCACAATTTAAGATCTGTCAGGGCAATGGAAACAAACTCATGAGAGCTTGCAGTTTTGGTAGACTCAAAATTCCTCCCTTACGAGCACATATGCCTACCATGCTCAAGAAAATATCCCAAACACACAGAAAATCAATCATAAACTATATATGAAAAGGCAGCTGAAGTCTACCACATGGAGTTTTACAGTCTCTGCACACTAGGACCTGTATTGCCTCTCACAGACTTCCGTATCTGAGATCGGGGTACCTGCAATCTGCTTCATTCCAACAACATGCAGCCTTTTCCAACAGTCAAAAAAAGAGCCTTATGAACAGTCAAAACCATCCCCTGCTCAACTCGCAAACATTTTGGGTGAGAGCTGTGTGGGGAAAGATACTCTTCCCTTGTAAGTCAGAAAATGAAATCCTTGGGTGCCATCCCAAGCCACACACACTGCTCAGGTATTGCTTGATTTGGCAGCAAACAGGCAAATGATGAATATAGACAAAAATACTGCAAAACGCAGTAACGCTATTTTTCTTGAGCCTTAATGACACAGAACTGAGTAGAAATGAAAAAAAAATGGGAGAACGCAGCAAAAGACAAATTAAACTCAGGTTTTTGTAGTCTCATTTTCCTTCTAAACGGTATCACGAGTTTTTGTCAAAAGGACATTACTACCACCCGCTTTTGGGGGGTAAATTTTGGGCAACTTGAGGTAGTTGCAATTTTATATTTTTTACCAACTTATTGTACCACCAATTTTTTCAGACCCAGCTGAATTAATTTATTACACATGGCCTTTTGTTCATAAGAGGCAGAAGGCTATACAGGGTTTCTTTTACCTGCATCCTATTCAGGTTTAGAAGTACCTGAAAGAACAAATCAGAAAAACTTCAGGAACGCAAAATTGAGAGATACCTGGGCTCTCTTTTCTGAAGCCTTTGAAAATTGCCATTTTGAATACTACTAAGGGTGAAGGAATTAAACTCTACTGCTTATAGGCCTTGTGCTCTGGTCAGCTTGTTTACAGATTTATACTTAGACATCAAGAACTGAAGGATCAAGGTCTCTTTATATGTAGCAACTGTATGTTAATCTCCAAATGCACATACTTGACAACAGGACACACTACATGAAGCCGTTATGCTGTTCAATTTTCAACACTGGGGAAAGCAATTCAAGGTTTGTAAGACCTCCAGTACTGATCCTGCTAAGAGAGCCATGAACTCATTTGCAAATCACTGAGATTATTCTGTGGATAATAAACTATTATGAAAATAATGAGAATTGTAAAAGTTATTCTGTACCTGGCAGTTCCCCTGCCATCATCTCACAGTCTATTTTAAAACCTTAATATAAAAAAAAAAAAAAAAAAAATCAAGGAGAATTCTAACAGCCTTTGAACTGCATCTTTATTTCTTGAACATTGAACCTTGCTGGAACATTAAGGACTAAAAGAAATAGGAAATTCATGCACCATTCAAAAGAGGATCTTGTACTACACCGTAAATTGCTAGGAAAAATGGGATGAGACTTCTAACAGCCTTTGAACTGCATCTTTATTTCTTGAACATTGAACCTTGCTGGAACATTAAGGACTAAAAGAAATAGGAAATTCATGCACCATTCAAAAGAGGATCTTGTACTACACCGTAAATTGCTAGGAAAAATGGGATGAGACTAAAACCTCAAGAAAAAAAAAAAATAAAAAATCAAAGGCTGCACTTTCCACATCCTGTCATGTGGAACTGTCTACCTTGAAATAAGTTATACTAAAGTCTAAACCAACAGCTACCGTTCTTGCAAAAAGGTATCCTGAGCGCCAAGCCATGAGCCAACACTGCCTCCTATGTTCTGTCAGGAGAACACAGGCTGTTATTCCTCCACATCTCAGAAAAACTTTATAATTTCTTTATAATTCATAATTCAATATTTAGAAGTATTAAGTCTGGTATCAAAAATGTAGTCAGAATGCTATCTTAAAAAGGACTGAAACATCTGCTAGGTTTTAAAGTTAACAATGTGCTTATGAGCCTGATGGGCTAAACCTTATTCAAGAGAAGAATTTCTTGATTTAACTTAACAGAAATCCCAATTAGAAAGGGATTTTATCACATATCCACAACACTAAGTTTTTGAAAGCCTCCATTAAAACCTGAAAAGTTAAGGATCACACCACTTACAAGTTTTTTTTGTGAACTCAATAAAACGCAATGCTTACTTTGAAGCAGAAGCAACATTGACTACATTAACAAGTGCATCACTCTGAAGTCTTTGTTAATTTTTACAAAATTAACAAGGAGAAAACTCATTATTCTGAACTTTTCAACCAAATGAAACATCAACTTTATGAAAGAATCCAAACACTTAAAATAGTCAAAGCTTATCTAGTCATGCTCAGTGTATCTGCATTAAGGCCATATGTTTTAATGAAGTATCGCATAGCTGAAGTTTCCTCAGAACTCGAGAGAGTTGAGAATTACAGCAAGGGCAGTTCCCTGACCTGAACAATGCATAGATCGATAACAGATAATCAGATAGGAAATGGGAGAGGAAGGAAGAGGCAAAGAAAGTGGTTTGCCTTAAGTCCCACATCACTGGCAAAGCTGGATTAAGAAACAGATCTTCAAATTGCCATTGGAAAGTCTTTTCCATATTATGACCCATGAAGTGGATTTTTAAGTTAATACAATTGAACAGAAAACAAAACACACCCAAAAAAAAGGGTATACAACATTTTAGCTGTTACTCAAGGCAAGAAACTTTTAGAACATACAGACTATTAATGAAAGAAGTAGAAATATAGTGCATTTATCCTCCCTCTGAGTGGCCCTTCCAAGGGATTTGGATGTATTACGTATCCAATTTTCATTTGTTCAGCACTTGAGGTTCTTATGCCAGCTACATTTTTAATTTCTGCTTGCTAAGGACTAGGGTACTGGCAGCTAATCAATACTATAATTAAGGAAGACCACTGTTCTGATTCAGCAATAATCATTTCAGTGTTTGAGTGGGGACATTTTGTACAAATAATTTAGTAATTTAGAAATACCATGCACAGACTGGACAATAATATGTGCTTTAATCAAGTGCAACATAATCATAAAATACAAGATACATACAGAGCAGAGTGATTTTACCACTCACCAGCTGAGCTGTGCTATCTGGCGGTACGTGCGATCTTACCACACTGGAAGAGGAGTCTAAATGGATTGGACTACCGCAACTTGAGGTGTCGACTTTCTGCTAGAGGTTATTCTCCCACAGCAGGATCAGTAGAAGAGAGTGTGCCTGCTATAGGCTGCCCAGACACTACCATTCTTAGCCTGGTGTGAACTTAAGGTGAAATTACTGATGGTTCAAGTTAACACCCATGCTGTGAAATCTCACAGCATAGGAGCTAGAATGCATTCATTGCCTCTACCGCTAAGTCGCTGCTGACTGCAGTGGGCAAGGTGAATAGCTGAGGCACTAACTTTACCTGATACGAGATAAAACTTGACAGAAAATGCACCGATTTCAGTCTTGCTGAAGGTGGTCAAATCAACTCATTCTACCATACAAATGGCATAAACTAAGAGCCCAAACACACACACAGAATTGCCACATCTTCTAAATCAAGTGGTGTTTCCTAAACACTTGTGTCCCAAATTTATTAGAAAGTGGTTAACCAAACAAGAATTCTCCAAGGAGCTCAGGGTACCTTTTGCTGAATCTCTTTACACATGAGGATAGTAGAATATAAGAACCGTATTATTTAACATCGACAAAGGGATGACACAAAGTGTACAGTTCTTTTCAGAGCCACAAGACTCAGTCCTGAAAGCAGTTACAACAAAGGACATATTAAATTTTAGCACTCAACCCTCTGAGCAAACCGTCCTCAAGACACCTGGCCAAGTCACCTAGCTTCCCATTAGGGGAAACCATGAAAAAAAGGTCCTTGATAAGGCACCAAAGTTTTCTCAGAATCACTATTCACTCACCTCTGAATGTAAACTATAGATTTCTCATATCCCCCTTCCCTTTCATTCTCTATGATCCCAGAATCATGAATTCTCAATGCTCACAACTGTTTCCCTTGTCCAACATAATTTTCAAACTGTCTTCTCACTCCAACATCTCCCATCCTTCTCAGTCTCTTCCCCTGCACTTCATAATGTTGTAAGTTAGACATAATGTAAAACCCAGCATCAGAATTGGACTGACAGCGCTGCTAACACTCCATAAATGCAGAGATAAGGATGAGGATGTTGCTACCTATCATTTTTTAGTGTATCACTGAACTGGAGGGAATGAGTGTTATTAGAGTTGCAGGAATAAAAAAAAAAAGTGGCAGTTACACAGCATTAATGGCACTGCTTTCACATTTTAGACAAGACAATTCTTACCGGGTCATAAGCTACTTAACACAGGATTATTACGCTTGGTAATCCTCTATAAAGCACCTAGAACAAGTGCCTTGCATTTGACTGAGTCTCCTAAATATTGCAGTAATATAAATAAGGACTGAATAATTACTGGAAAACAATCTCTCGGATACCAAGCCATGGATTGCTCTCTTTCTTCGAAATTCCGCTTTTCTGAAAAAGATACTAGTAATAACAGTAACAAGAACATTAAATTCCAATAATTTTATTTTCTTTCAGAAAAAGTCTGTATTTTAGAAATGAGGGACATGAATCAGATGCAGGTACTACTACAGGAGAAAGCCGTTCCTATACAATTAAAGGGACATGAATCAGATGCAGGTACCACTACAGGAGAAAGCTGTTCCTATACAATTAAGTTCTCTCTTCATGTGAGCAGATAAAATAAACCCCAAAGACATTGTATTTGTAGTTTTATCCGTAACTATTATCCCTAGTCACAGTTCCTGGAGTGCATTAGTTCAAGAGTTACAAGACCTTGGGTTCAGAAGGAGCTCTAGGAATACATCACCAGAGGTCTTGGGCATCTTCCAGGCAGCCACACAAACTTCAACAGCTTTAAAATTTCAAAGGGACATGGTAAAGTCATGCTATGTTACCATGAGAACCGGCAACAATAAGGTAGGTAGAAAGAAGTAAATACCAAGAGGGGTGGGAAGGCAAAAAACCCCAGGTTTAAAACATCACTTGCTCTGGAAAGCAACTCAATAAAAATGGTCTTAGTCCACAGTGTCATTTCATACTTTAATATAATGTCTTCTTGTTTTACTTTTCACTCATTTGTGTATTAAAATCACATGAATTACTATCAGAATAAAATGGAGGCTGCTTCTCTCTTGTTGGCTGAAGCTAGGTAAACAACTGTGGTTCACTAGAAAGCCTCACTCACAGTAAGTACCAGTGAAGATCATTTGCCTCGCAATTCTCTGCACTAAATTGGACCTGGCATTTATTTTTGCACGGTGGAAGGAGACAAAGAAGGAGGGAAAGGGTGGGGGGAGCTTCAAAGAACAACTAACCTATTACTGTACCTGAAACATATTACTGTACCTGAACCACTTTTAAACATGAATATGTATTTTTGTATCAGATATTTATCGTTACTGTACAAGAAAGAGTAAGATCTTTCAAAAGAACTGAAAAGTTACCTCAGAGGAGTGGATGGGTTTTTTTTGACTGGGTATAAATAAGATTGTTTGCTAGAAATCTACTTACGGCTGAGTGAGGTCACGAGTAATGAAGTCCGAACTCTTGAAGAGGAGGAAGATGTCACTGAGAGCTTTACATTTCAGAGAGCTGTTCATGGCTATCCAATAGGCATCCTAAACAAAAAAGGAGATGATCCAAAAATGCACCTTTGCTAGCAGGAAAGAATGCAAGCTGCAGATCCCCTTGGATCTGCAGCTCCGCTTGGAGTCCCCTTCTCTGGAGATTTTCAAAACCCGCCTGGATGCAGTCCTGAGTAATGTGCTCTTGGCAATCCTGCTTTAGCAGGGGAGTTGGACAAATGATCTCTAGAGGTCCCTTCCAACTCTGAAAATTCTGTGATCTACCTAAACAATATGCCACATTTGAAATACATGCAGAAAATTATTTTATTTTGAGGAAAACTTCATTAGCTGTTACAAGAGACACAATTGTTACTGCTTTTCTTACAAATACTCTGTTGAAAGCAGAGCAAATCCATTTAAAAAACAAAGTTTCTGCCTTACTGCTACCAGGCACTTCCTTGAAATGCTTGATTGCACACAAGCTTCCCTGGAGAATACAATACAAAAAGATTTGGGTGCACTCATCCTTAAGGCATAGAGTACCAAAAAAATAACTGGAGGGAAGTTTATTGCTTTTTTAAAAAAAATGCGGGGTTATTAATCTTTATCCCAGGCAAAGTTTTCAACTACTATCCTAAAGAAGAGTGTCACCATCATACTGTTATCTGTGACAAGGACACAGGGTTTTACGTAAGAAAGACAGTGCTGTCTTGCATCAGCCTCACCAAACAGTGAACCATCCAGCTCTAATCTACCAGAACAGTTTGCTGTATCATACTTTACTGATATCTTGTCTATCACTTCTTCCTTCATCAGAACCACTAGTCTCTTCTACTTTACAATGCATTAAGATAAAACAAACCAAAAAAAAAATCCCTGTGATAATATCTGTTACAAGTTTTGGGAGTCAGCATTCTTACCCTTGGAGCACTCCAGTTAAGTTTAGGAAAAACACTACCACCCAAGGAACTTATTGCTTCTTGAACTTTAGCTGTGAACTCAGGAAATTCTGGTGCCTGAACAAAGAACAACAAAAAATCAATTTCAATACATTTAATAGTGAAGTGTAGCCATCTCCTAAATACCATTAGAAATACATATTGTAGAAGGAATAAACATGTCCAAAATCAGAAAGCAAGAACCCCACAAAAATAATGTATTTGTAGAATTAAATAACTTAAGAATCAACTCTGACATTCTTTCAATCAGAGAAAATTGAAAATCATAGAATGGTTTGGGTTGGAAGGGAATGTAAAGATCATCTCGTTCCACCCCCCCTGCCATGGGCAGGGACACCTCCCACCAGACCAGGTTGCTCAAAGCCCCATCCAGCCTGGCCTTGAACACCTCCAGGGATGGGGCCTCCACAGCTTCTCTGGGCAACCTGTGCCAGTGTCTCACCACTCTCAGAGTAAAGAATTTCTTCCTAATATCTAATCTAAATCTACCCTCTTCCAGTTTAAAACTGTTACCCCTTGTCCTACCACTACAATCCCTGATAAAGAGTCCCTCCCCATCTTTTCTGTAGGCCCCCTTTAGGTACTGGAAGGCTGCTATAAGGTCTTTCTTTTATGTTTCCAATTCTAACTCTCATTACTAGCAAGATTTATGAGCTTCAGGGGAAAACCCAAAACTTTTTTATGTTCATCATGAAAGCTGCAACAGCTGGCAAATGTGTAAGTCAAATAAACAGACCTTAAGTACATACCTCTTGTTTTATACCTGATGGTAGATTATTGTATACAAATAAAGATCCAAGAAGATTTAAAAACTAACTTTCACAAACAGTTTGTTTAGAATTAAGCATCTCTTTAAAAAAAGGTCTAAAAACCAAAGACTGTAGGATTCTGCCAAAGTATTAAAAGGTAGAAAGAGACCAATTCTGTTTTGTAATAGCTCCCTAGCTGCATTTAAGAACACGGTAAGAGAGCAAAAGTAAATAAATCAATACATAGACAATTTGAGTGACAGCTCCTCATTTAAGCTTTAGTTTTACAAAGTGTTGTTAGTAATACTTTAACTAATCAGCTCTTGAATTAGGTCTTAAGGTAGCTCCTCAACAATATATTCCATCAAAATAGAGGACACACTGCAAAGGTATGAGTTGGACTAGAAAACCTTGTCTTCAATATTGTAAACATAAGAGAGGGGAAAAAATAAGCTCCCTAGGATGCTATAAACTCCACTCTGAATGTGGTGCAATAGAAAAAAACAGATTGCTGACCTTTAAAATAATATGAAGGGATTTCAGGCATATGTCAAAGATTTTTCATATAATAGGATTTATAGCAAAAAGTATATAAGAACACTATTTCTGCCTGAGTATTTTTAAACTCAACTCAACAATAACTTCTAGGCTAAAGCTACAATGTCTCTAAAACAACAAAGCCCTCATAGCCACACAAGTGACCAAAAAAAGTTCATACATTTTGGCATCTCCTTTCTGCAGGTCCCCAAATGCAAATACTTTAAAAAAAAAAAACAACCTCTCACATTTTAGCACACGGAATTAGACTGAATTCTGAATCCTTCCTTAGTACGTTATCTAGTCTCCATGGGAAACTACACTTGAAAAACTGAAAAAGCCCTTCTCTTGTTTTACTTTATTTTTAGACCTTCAGTAAATTCTGGAAATTGTTCCTGCAAGAAGTAGAACTCTGCATTCCACTGCATTCTGATCCAATCTCCTCTTGCTTCAACAGAAGTCAGGAGTGATACTACAGATGTAATACCAGCACATACCAAGCCTCCTTGGGGAAATGTTACCATCATGTCATCTGATTAATACAAGTGAAGAAATATACACAAGAGGATAGCTCTAAGGCTGCATAAACAACCTAGATTCTAACATTTACCAAATTCTGAATGCCTGGCTTTGCAACCATCAATATTAATGCATTTTTTTTTAAACATAGGATTTTCTATAATCCTATATTCTAACTCTTCTTCAGAACATAGAAGGGTCAAGGGAAACAAGTTCTACCTGATGGCTCAGGTGGGTCATCAAATCAAATTAATCAAACACAGCTCACCTTACTGCTCCCTGAGCCAAGAAACCAACAGAAAATTGTAATCTGGGATTTATCATTAGTAAGATATGAATGCCCTAGGCTGACAGTAAATGCAGAACCACAGTCTTCAGCTGGTCCCACTATTCTTTACACATTATGCTCCGTAGTGTCTCCCTGTTCAATGTCCACATTGCTACTTATCCACTCTCATCTCTTGCAGTAACTCCAGATGAAGCTCCCCACCCTTCTGCATTTCACACAGGCTGTTTCTTCACTCTCGTCATCACTGTCAAAGTGATAACAGGCAACACTTAAAAGCACAGAAGATTATTCCCATTCACTCACTGGCCTCAGAGTAGTTCCTAGTTTTCAGGTAAAGAAAGCATATTTGTCACAGGTGCAGTCTTCAGAGCAATCATCTACCAAATTTACAAGACTGTAAAGAGCACATTATGAAATTCTACTTTTAGAGCCTCTTTCTTTGACCAAACGTAGGTGCATTTTTGTAGAAATTAGCCTTGGGCACAAAACATGGGCATTATTAACCATTTTCAAAGTTCCAGGTTTGGCAAAAGACAAAGCCCTGCCAGTCTCTGAACACGAGCCACCTTGGAGGCGAAAACACCCCTCTTCTTCCTCTACCCCTGCTTGTATTGCTGAGCATGATGTTAAACAGTAGGGAATACCCCTTAAGATAATTTGGGCCAGCTGTCCTGGCCCTGGCCCCTCTCCTTCTCTTGCCTAGCCCTCCCCTAGGGAGGGGTGTGGAGCAGATCGGGGAAAGGGAAAGCATTGATGCTACACAAGCACTGTTCAGCAACAGCTGAAGGTTAACTCCATCCCAGCCAGCCCCAGTAAAACAACAGCTGTAAAGCTGCAGTCCACACAGAGTACACAACACTTACCTAGCTAAACTGAAATCACTTGGCTACATCCTTCTGATGGGTATCAGACCTCTTAATTACGTATTTCCTTATCATGCTGTACACTACAACGAAACCTGATTCAAAAGTCTGATATTATTTCTTTAACAACACTAACATGAGCTTCACAGAAGATAAGATGGATACCAAAAACCTTGTTCTGATTAATTTACAATCCAAGGCATCTACTTTATCAAAGCTTAGATATTTGAACTGAAGCTATTAGTGCATGCAAATTTGGCATACATTAGTTTTAAAATCTAGGCTATAAGTTCTGTACTAGCATAGGCACAACTCAAAGCAGGGCTGTGTTTATATTGCACCTAATCCAATATGAGCAATTCAACATTATGTTGAACATTAGAAAGCCAACAGGACCGAAGTAATAGTATCAATGGCAGACAAGCGATGCAAGCATGGTAACTCTGACAATGATGGGGCAACAGCAAGTTTCAAAAAAGATGTAAAAAAAGATCACGGAAGCCTGGTTTGTATTCATCACGATCCTGATTCTAAGCAAGGCACAGTGAAAGGACAGCATGAAGACAGGAAAAGAGAAAAAAAAAAAAGATGATACAAAGAAATGTACTTTGGAGGAAATAATGGCACAGGTGTAAGAGAAGAGCTGTGAAAATTGAGCTGCGGGGGCTTCATTTCTTCTGTATCCAGTTTGATTAAGTAATTGGGAGATATTCAAAGCGGTGAAAATGAAAGACGGCTATATTTAGAGCCATACTTCAGTTCATTTCCTATAGTCTAACACGTGTGTGATTGTTGGGGATGAAGAAAAGCATTTTATTTTTAGTTAAATAAAATTAAGCCAGCAAGACTTTTTTAAAGTTACAGGCATCTACACTACCATCCATCTAGAATGGTCTGAAAAACGTTAAACACAGCAACAGGTATCTCTAACTGGCAACAAGTTGATATCACAAGGTTGCAGAAAGGATACTACTGACAAACCCGTGTTAGGCTTTTACCTTAAGTGTTGTAGTATTCTCATCATCTGACCACTGTCAAAAGTAAGAACAAATCAAAGGTTACTGGTTTCATGAGACATTCTTTATAATTTATGAGACATCAGAATTCATGTGGTTTCCTACAACACATAGATCAAATCATTGCCCTGGAGCTCCTGTAGCATAATGTCACCATCCGCCAATTATTATGGCTGTAAATTAAGACAAGAAAAATATTGTATATTTGGCAGAAGTACTATTCTAAAGTATGGATAAAAGACAACACCTATTATTTTAATTGTGATTTATATCACAAACTTGGGCATTTCAGAACTCAACAGTCTTCCCCATATAAAGCTTGTCTCCAGCTCCAGCATTTCCATCCTTAGACTCACGTCCATTAGTTTCACTTATATTTTTTTTTCATCACCTTTTTCTATCTTCTGCCACCTTGTGCTTACAATATTTTCCAGCCTTTTTCTTCTAGAATACCCTTCTGAGCTATTATGGCCTCAGGAAATTTCATTGTTTCTTGAAATAACTCCTCCAAATGTACGCCTCCTTCTAATTTTTCAGGGCATGAAATAGCATTAAGTTCAATTCCAACAACCTTCAACATTCCCTACTCATTATTACAAATGGAATTACCAAGACATTAAAAAAAAGTCTTCTGTGAAAGAGCACAGAAACATTTTAAACCTTCCCTAACATCACAGTATAAATAATGTTTTTAAAAGGCAACTACCAGAGATCATTATTTTTGTGAAGTACTCTCCTCACCTACAAATTACGCAGAAAATGTTACACATTCATATTTTTCTCAAGAGACTTGACATTAAGTTGCATTTTATACTGACCTGTATTTCCTCTGCATCGTCACTCCTCTCCTGAGCATGACTTGGTGGATCTTCTCTAAAACAAAAAAATAGCATGAAAAAAAAGTAAGCATTGGAGTTTGACTTAACCACATACATTTCTACAGCATCTACCAGCTGTTGATCTCAAAACGTTTTCCTAAGGAGATTAAGACTCAAAACCCCTGGCAGAGAAAAATCAGAGTGAGCCAGTACAGAGAACTGAAGCCCTGGCATTAGACTCGGGCCTGACCCAAACCACTTTGCTTCTTTCAAATTAGCAGATCACTTTCTGCTCTGAAAATGCCATAATTGAAGCTTTTCAACACCCTATTAATCATTCTTTTCCAACTTTACTGTACTCTGACAGAAGCCCAAATGAAACAAACTTTTTTTTAAACAAGTTCAATTTAAATTATGCTGTGCCTCCATACTCCTTTTCCAAGTAAGAATTTATAAAATTTGAGTGTCAGATGTTGACCTGTGAATCTCTAGTTCTGAAAAGAAAATGTCCACACACAGAAAAGAATATCCTATAGAAAGTGGATACATAGTCATTAGCTTCTTAGTGGGGCTCAACAACCCCACGCAGCGCTACAGGCTTGGGGAAGAGTGGCTGGAAAAGTGTCCAGTGAAAAAAGGCCCCGGGTGGCTTTAAAAAGACATGTAGGTGTGGTGCCTAAGGACCCGGTTCAGTGGTGGACTTGGAGTTCATTTCCTATAGTCTAACACGTGTGTGATTGTTGGGGATGAAGAAAAGCATTTATTTTTAGTTAAATAAAATTAAGCCAGCAAGACTTTTTTAAAGTTACAGGCATCTACACTACCATCCATCTAGAATGGTCTGAAAAACGTTAAACACAGCAACAGGTATCTCTAACTGGCAACAAGTTGATATCACAAGGTTGCAGAAAGGATACTACTGACAAACCCGTGTTAGGCTTTTACCTTAAGTGTTGTAGTATTCTCATCATCTGACCACTGTCAAAAGTAAGAACAAATCAAAGGTTACTGGTTTCATGAGACATTCTTTATAATTTATGAGACATCAGAATTCATGTGGTTTCCTACAACACATAGATCAAATCATTGCCCTGGAGCTCCTGTAGCATAATGTCACCATCCGCCAATTATTATGGCTGTAAATTAAGACAAGAAAAATATTGTATATTTGGCAGAAGTACTATTCTAAAGTATGGATAAAAGACAACACCTATTATTTTAATTGTGATTTATATCACAAACTTGGGCATTTCAGAACTCAACAGTCTTCCCCATATAAAGCTTGTCTCCAGCTCCAGCATTTCCATCCTTAGACTCACGTCCATTAGTTTCACTTATATTTTTTTTTCATCACCTTTTTCTATCTTCTGCCACCTTGTGCTTACAATATTTTCCAGCCTTTTTCTTCTAGAATACCCTTCTGAGCTATTATGGCCTCAGGAAATTTCATTGTTTCTTGAAATAACTCCTCCAAATGTACGCCTCCTTCTAATTTTTCAGGGCATGAAATAGCATTAAGTTCAATTCCAACAACCTTCAACATTCCCTACTCATTATTACAAATGGAATTACCAAGACATTAAAAAAAAGTCTTCTGTGAAAGAGCACAGAAACATTTTAAACCTTCCCTAACATCACAGTATAAATAATGTTTTTAAAAGGCAACTACCAGAGATCATTATTTTTGTGAAGTACTCTCCTCACCTACAAATTACGCAGAAAATGTTACACATTCATATTTTTCTCAAGAGACTTGACATTAAGTTGCATTTTATACTGACCTGTATTTCCTCTGCATCGTCACTCCTCTCCTGAGCATGACTTGGTGGATCTTCTCTAAAACAAAAAAATAGCATGAAAAAAAAGTAAGCATTGGAGTTTGACTTAACCACATACATTTCTACAGCATCTACCAGCTGTTGATCTCAAAACGTTTTCCTAAGGAGATTAAGACTCAAAACCCCTGGCAGAGAAAAATCAGAGTGAGCCAGTACAGAGAACTGAAGACCTGGAATTAGACTTGGGCCTGACCCAAACCACTTTGCTTCTTTCAAATTAGCAGATCACTTTCTGCTCTGAAAATGCCATAATTGAAGCTTTTCAACACCCTATTAATCATTCTTTTCCAACTTTACTGTACTCTGACAGAAGCCCAAATGAAACAAACTTTTTTTTAAACAAGTTCAATTTAAATTATGCTGTGCCTCCATACTCCTTTTCCAAGTAAGAATTTATAAAATTTGAGTGTCAGATGTTGACCTGTGAATCTCTAGTTCTGAAAAGAAAATGTCCACACACAGAAAAGAATATCCTATAGAAAGTGGATACATAGTCATTAGCTTCTTAGTGGGGCTCAACAACCCCACGCAGCGCTACAGGCTTGGGGAAGAGTGGCTGGAAAAGTATCCAGTGAAAAAAGGCCCTGGGGGTCTTCAAAAAGACATGTAGGTGTGGCGCCTAAGGACCCGGTTCAGTGGTGGACTTGGCAGTGTTAGGTTTACGGATGAGCTTGATGATCTTCAAGGTCTTTTCCAACCTAAATGATTCTGTGATTCTTCCTGAAAACTTCCTTTTTCTCCACAGCGAGATCTGCTGTTGCAAACACTAACATATCTGCGAGAAAGCACTTGACTGCAAATATTTCCTTGAAATTTTAGGTGACCTTTGAAGGTCTTTAGCCAACATAACTAAGTGCGAAGATCGTAAAGGAGAAGACCAAGCTCTTGAAGACTTACTTACAGCAATTCAGTGTCGCAAACACGGTAAATTCAAATGTGCGTCCCTGCCAAAAGTAAACTCTTCAACAAGCAAAGTGTCTGCAGCCCCTTAATGCACTTCCACATGGATTAAATTATCAATCCAGTTTTTGAAATCTAGGGGTCAGATATCAGTTCACTGAAGATTAAAAGCAATCTTGGCCTCGACTAGAAGATCACATTCACTTGTAGCTAAAAAACACTCTTTACCTTCCAGAAACCACAAGTGTTCCATCATCCAGCAAATATTCTTTCACATTCTCTGGTAGGGGAAGTATAACACTGGAAGAAACATAGAATGTCTTTAATAAATTTATTACTAGTATTACTTCTTAAAATAATAACAAGAGTTAAATAACAGTAAGTCAGGTTTTTTTTTTAATAGAACACATTTCAGTAACAGTACGTTTTATTCTCTAATACTATGAAAAAAAAGTTTCTCTTTCTCCCCTCTCACCTCTTCCCAAAAAGCAATGTTCACTTTTCCTCCAGGCAAGTAAAGGAGAAAGAGGCAAAAATTTTAGATGAAATGCACAAAAAGGCCCCACTCCTTCAAAGCTCTAAGAAATTCAAAGAAAGAGTATGTGTGGCCAGCAAGAAGGACACAAGATGTTGCTTGAACCAAAGGCTTCCCTTCTGACATACAAACCAAAATATGCTTACACCACCCAAATGTTCCAAAAATGCAGCACTATCACTAAACTTACCAAAAATATGTATGCGCTAAATAGTACTAACAAACATAAAAGATTAAATGCTTTGATTACTAAAAGCCTGATGTCAGTGCTTTTTGATCCAACAGAGCAACTATCTTCAGCTTGACTTTCCTGAGTTACCGGTAGTTCTCATAACTATCTCGTGACCTGCAGCAGCACCTTAGAAACTGCAGAAATTGCTACAGTTTCCAGAAACACACAGAAACACGAAGTCAGTCACTTGGTTTGGGTGCGTTCAGCCTCAGTTTCTTTGAGCAGCCAAGTGGGACCATCAGTGATGTGGCTGTGAGCTGGTGCTCCGTGCAGAGTCCCACCAGGAGAAGAGGGGTGCCCGGCCTAGCCCCAGGGCTGCCCAAAACACCCCCTCAGGGCACAGGGACGAGACCCCACCTCCTAGAGCTCCAGGTTAATCAGGCCTTCCCCACCTCCATCCCAGCCCTGTCTCACACAGATTCCCCATATCTCCCCCAACACAAGCCTATTTCTAGCCCAGCCCCACACCGTCACACACACACAGTCGTCGCCCCCCCC